AAAAAAAAATAAAAATCAAGAGGTTCTCAAGTAACTTTCTGAGCAGTCCTTCCTCTTTAAGTGCAATACAAAAAGAAACACAATTGTTAAAACAAACTCTAAACATGATCATGTTTAAAATAGAAAAGATTCTGTAAGTGTCTCCGAGGTGAGTAGATTAGTACAGAATCTGAGAAGGAGACACTTTACAGTTTAGCAGAAATCATTTACAGAGTTTCTTAAGATTCTACTTGAGCATTACGGGAATTGAGGCTTTAGGTCAAATCCCAGTACTGCCAGGAGATGACCTCATCTGTTTTCTTTCTCAGTGACATCAACTCTTGGCAGCCCCCTGTTCACTATCTACTATGTGATTTCAAATGGTCTGTTCATTTCTTAAACTGTGGTACAGCAGTAAAAACAACATATTCTGTTAATAGTTTACGTTTAATATATACAGTATGTAATTAATATTATAAAATAATTGTAATCAATATGGTCTTTCATTAAATAAAGCACCCACTATGCAATAATTTTCTGATATATTTGCCTTGTAAGTCATCATAATGAGCCAACTGACAACATTTCAGTCACTTCATCGGTTCTAGTCCTTGATGACATCATCAATCTTTGACATCATTGTTGTCCGCTGGTGCTGATAAAACTGGAGGGCCATTCACATAGAACACGTTTTTACATTCCACGCTAAATACACGCTACATCTTGCGTCTTTTGCAGCATCTTGCGCATAATACTACGTTCTAACTACGCAGTGCTAAAGTTTAGGTTAACTTTGAAAAAATGCCACTCTAGACCTTACTCTTTTTTTTAATCCACTGCCCTACATCATTTCCAAACCTAAAAACATGCTTGTACAGAATGCGTTTTCGCATTCCACTGCGCTACTTTTCCGTTATTGTTCTATGTAAACATGCGCTAGACATGTGCAACTTAAAAGTCAACTTAAAAGTCTCTAGGCCTTTCTCTTTTTTCCATTTCACTGCCCAGTGTCTCATGATTTTGAACGGACAAAATGCATTCTGTATTCCACTGTATTGCTTTTCTTTATAAACGTGATAAATGGGCACAACACAGCATTTTTAAAATGCAGTGCTAAAGTTAAGCTTTTAAAAAAAAGTATTTCTAGTCCTTGCAGTTTTTTTTTT